AATCCCAAAAAATTCATAGACAATAATTCAGACCCATAAAGAACGAATTTGATGTCAGATTTGAGAAAGAACCCTTCCCCTAGATTTTCAAAATCAGCGGTTCACGCGATGCAGTAGGCTTATACTGGTCGAAAAATATTTTTTTCCTGATCGACCTAAGAATCCCAAAAAATTCATAGACACTAATTCAGTCTCATAAAGAACGAATTTGATGTCAGATTCGAGAAAGAACCCTTCCTCTAGATTTTCAAAATCAGCGGTTCACGCGATGCAGTAGGCTTATACTGGTCGAAAAATATTTTTTTCCTGATCGACCTAAGAATCCCAAAAAATTCATAGACACTAATTCAGTCCCATAAAGAACGAATTTGATGTCGGATTCGAGAAAGAACCCTTCCTCTAGATTTTCAAAATCAGCGGTTCACGCGATTCAGTAGACATACTGGTCGAAAAATATTGTTTTCCTGTATGACCTAAAAATCCCAAAAAATTCATAGACAATAATTCAGACCCATAAAGAACGAATTTGATGTCAGATTTGAGAAAGAACCCTTCCCCTAGATTTTCAAAATCAGCGGTTCACGCGATGCAGTAGGCTTATACTGGTCGAAAAATATTTTTTTCCTGATCGACCTAAGAATCCCAAAAAATTCATAGACACTAATTCAGTCCCATAAAGAACGAATTTGATGTCAGATTCGAGAAAGAACCCTTCCTCTAGATTTTCAAAATCAGCGGTTCACGCGATGCAGTAGGCTTATACTGGTCGAAAAATATTTTTCTCCAGATCGACCTAAAAATCCCAAAAAATTCATAGACACTAATTCAGACCCATAAAGAACGAATTTGATGTCAGATTCGAGAAAGAACCCTTCCTCCAGATTTTCAAAATCAGCGGTTCACGCGATTCAGTAGACATACTGGTCGAAAAATATTTTTTTCCTGATCGACCTAAGAATCCCAAAAAATTCATAGACACTAATTCAGTCCCATAAAGAACGAATTTTATGTCAGATTCGAGAAAGAACCCTTCCTCTAGATTTTCAAAATCAGCGGTTCACGCGATGCAGTAGGCTTATACTGGTCGAAAAATATTTTTTTCCTGATCGACCTAAGAATCCCAAAAAATTCATAGACACTAATTCAGTCCCATAAAGAACGAATTTGATGTCAGATTTGAGAAAGAACCCTTCCCCTAGATTTTCAAAATCAGCGGTTCACGCGATGCAGTAGGCTTATACTGGTCGAAAAATATTTTTTTCCAGATCGACCTAAAAATCCCAAAAAATTCATAGACACTAATTCAGACCCATAAAGAACGAATTTGATGTCAGATTCGAGAAAGAACCCTTCCTCTAGATTTTCAAAATCAGCGGTTCACGCGATGCAGTAGGCTTATACTGGTCGAAAAATATTTTTTTCCAGATCGACCTAAAAATCCCAAAAAATTCATAGACACTTATTCAGACCCATAAAGAACGAATTTGATGTCGGATTCGAGAAAGAACCCTTCCTCTAGATTTTCAAAATCAGCGGTTCACGCGATGCAGTAGGCTTATACTGGTCGAAAAATATTTTTTTCCAGATCGACCTAAAAATCCCAAAAAATTCATAGACACTAATTCAGACCCATAAAGAACGAATTTGATGTCAGATACGAGAAAGAACCCTTCCTCTAGATTTTCAAAATCAGCGGTTCACGCGATGCAGTAGGCTTATACTGGTCGAAAGATATTTTTTTCCAGATCGACCTAAAAATCCCAAAAAATTCATAGACACTAATTCAGACCCATAAAGAACGAATTTGATGTCGGATTCGAGAAAGAACCCTTCCTCTAGATTTTCAAAATCAGCGGTTCACGCGATGCAGTAGGCTTATACTGGTCGAAAAATATTTTTTTCCAGATCGACCTAAAAATCCCAAAAAATTCATAGACACTAATTCAGACCCATAAAGAACGAATTTGATGTCAGATTCGAGAAAGAACCCTTCCTCTAGATTTTCAAAATCAGCGGTTCACGCGATGCAGTAGGCTTATACTGGTCGAAAAATATTTTTTTCCAGATCGACCTAAAAATCCCAAAAAATTCATAGACACTAATTCAGACCCATAAAGAACGAATTTGATGTCAGATACGAGAAAGAACCCTTCCTCTAGATTTTCAAAATCAGCGGTTCACGCGATGCAGTAGGCTTATACTGGTCGAAAAATATTTTTTTCCAGATCGACCTAAAAATCCCAAAAAATTCATAGACACTAATTCAGACCCATAAAGAACGAATTTGATGTCGGATTCGAGAAAAAACCCTTCCTCTAGATTTTCAAAATCAGCGGTTCACGCGATGCAGTAGGCTTATACTGGTCGAAAAATATTTTTTTCCAGATCGACCTAAAAATCCCAAAAAATTCATAGACACTAATTCAGACCCATAAAGAACGAATTTGATGTCGGATTCGAGAAAGAACCCTTCCTCTAGATTTTCAAAATCAGCGGTTCACGCGATGCAGTAGGTTTATACTGGTCGAAAAATATTTTTTTCCAGATCGACCTAAAAATCCCAAAAAATTCATAGACACTAATTCAGACCCATAAAGAACGAATTTGATGTCAGATTCGAGAAAGAACCCTTCCTCCAGATTTTCAAAATCAGCGGTTCACGCGATTCAGTAGACATACTGGTCGAAAAATATTTTTTTCCTGATCGACCTAAGAATCCCAAAAAATTCATAGACACTAATTCAGTCCCATAAAGAACGAATTTTATGTCAGATTCGAGAAAGAACCCTTCCTCTAGATTTTCAAAATCAGCGGTTCACGCGATGCAGTAGGCTTATACTGGTCGAAAAATATTTTTTTCCTGATCGACCTAAGAATCCCAAAAAATTCATAGACACTAATTCAGTCCCATAAAGAACGAATTTGATGTCAGATTTGAGAAAGAACCCTTCCCCTAGATTTTCAAAATCAGCGGTTCACGCGATGCAGTAGGCTTATACTGGTCGAAAAATATTTTTTTCCAGATCGACCTAAAAATCCCAAAAAATTCATAGACACTAATTCAGACCCATAAAGAACGAATTTGATGTCAGATTCGAGAAAGAACCCTTCCTCTAGATTTTCAAAATCAGCGGTTCACGCGATGCAGTAGGCTTATACTGGTCGAAAAATATTTTTTTCCAGATCGACCTAAAAATCCCAAAAAATTCATAGACACTTATTCAGACCCATAAAGAACGAATTTGATGTCGGATTCGAGAAAGAACCCTTCCTCTAGATTTTCAAAATCAGCGGTTCACGCGATGCAGTAGGCTTATACTGGTCGAAAAATATTTTTTTCCAGATCGACCTAAAAATCCCAAAAAATTCATAGACACTAATTCAGACCCATAAAGAACGAATTTGATGTCAGATACGAGAAAGAACCCTTCCTCTAGATTTTCAAAATCAGCGGTTCACGCGATGCAGTAGGCTTATACTGGTCGAAAGATATTTTTTTCCAGATCGACCTAAAAATCCCAAAAAATTCATAGACACTAATTCAGACCCATAAAGAACGAATTTGATGTCGGATTCGAGAAAGAACCCTTCCTCTAGATTTTCAAAATCAGCGGTTCACGCGATGCAGTAGGCTTATACTGGTCGAAAAATATTTTTTTCCAGATCGACCTAAAAATCCCAAAAAATTCATAGACACTAATTCAGACCCATAAAGAACGAATTTGATGTCAGATTCGAGAAAGAACCCTTCCTCTAGATTTTCAAAATCAGCGGTTCACGCGATGCAGTAGGCTTATACTGGTCGAAAAATATTTTTTTCCAGATCGACCTAAAAATCCCAAAAAATTCATAGACACTAATTCAGACCCATAAAGAACGAATTTGATGTCAGATTCGAGAAAGAACCCTTCCTCTAGATTTTCAAAATCAGCGGTTCACGCGATGCAGTAGGCTTATACTGGTCGAAAAATATTTTTTTCCAGATCGACCTAAAAATCCCAAAAAATTCATAGACACTAATTCAGACCCATAAAGAACGAATTTGATGTCGGATTCGAGAAAGAACCCTTCCTCTAGATTTTCAAAATCAGCGGTTCACGCGATGCAGTAGGCTTATACTGGTCGAAAAATATTTTTTTCCAGATCGACCTAAAAATCCCAAAAAATTCATAGACACTAATTCAGACCCATAAAGAACGAATTTGATGTCAGATTCGAGAAAGAACCCTTCCTCCAGATTTTCAAAATCAGTGGTTCGCGCGATTCAGTAGACATACTGGTCGAAAAATATTGTTTTCCTGTATGACCTAAAAATCCCAAAAAATTCATAGACAATAATTCAGACCCATAAAGAACGTATTTGATGTCAGATTTGAGAAAGAACCCTTCCCCTAGATTTTCAAAATCAGCGGTTCACGCGATGCAGTAGGCTTATACTGGTCGAAAAATATTTTTTTCCTGATCGACCTAAGAATCCCAAAAAATTCATAGACACTAATTCAGTCCCATAAAGAACGAATTTGATGTCAGATTCGAGAAAGAACCCTTCCTCTAGATTTTCAAAATCAGCGGTTCACGCGATGCAGTAGGCTTATACTGGTCGAAAAATATTTTTTTTCGGATTGACCTTAAAATCCCCAAAAATTCATAGACACTAATTCGGACCCACAATGAACGAATCTGATGTCACGTCATCTCTGTATCTATACCAATACAAGTATTGTTTTATCAATGAATGTTTATGTATTATTCGCTCCAAGTTATCCATGAAAATTTCAGCAAGTAAAGGGCTCAGTGGATTTTCCATAAACAACCCTTTTGACGCGGAATATATTTGGTTGTCAAATTGAAAGTAATTTTGTTTGATACATATCGACAGAAGGTCTAAAATCTCTTTGTTCTGGTAATCGGATTAACAATGTTTTTTATCTAATAACTCCTCAACTAAAATTACATTATCTTGTATGTTGTTGTTATTATTTGTTTGTTTGTTTGTTTCAGGATCTGAGTGGGGGCAATAGTAATGACAGTTCTGGGGGACCCGCACCTGGCACACCAAATTCGCAGGGCATGAGGCCGACTCCATCTCCTACAGGATCTACAGGTTCTCGATCCATGTCACCAGCAGTAGGTCAGTGATGTATTTGAGTTTTTTATTCGATTTTGTTTGTCACCAGAGAAATATAAACAGTAGGCCCTGCTCTTCCCAATCCTAATCACTCTTCTCGAAGAAAATGAACGACGTCAGGATTGTTATGAAATTTGTGCGAATCAATTTCCTGTGATCCAATAAATCTCTGTATTTGACATGATATAATGGGAAACTTCTTGTGTTATTGTTTTTCGTGGAAAAATAAATAAAATCGCGAATGATATACAGTACACAGAAAATTGTTCCATTGGCAGTGCATGGTGGAGTTCGTTTTGTTGATAATTTGCAGAACTGTTGAAATATTCGCAAACTTCTTGTGTTATTATTTTTCGTGGAAAAATAAATTAAATCGCGAATGATACACAGTACACGCAGTGCATGGTGAAGTTCGTTTTGATGATGATTTGCAGAACTGTTGAAATATTCGCTGTTTTTCAAATTCCAAATTCCAATAAATCGTCAAGATTAATTGTTTCAGTGGAGAACTATACAAATTATATATGTTTGATCAGTAATTTCTGAGAAAGCTGTTTCTTTGTGAAATTTAACAACAAAATAGAAATTCCCAAGATTACAATTTTTACTGTGTAGATAGTATGAGGATATTGTCTAGTAGAATCAAGAGGTGATTCATTTTTCTTAGGTTATCAGTTGAATATATTCAGTGAAACGGTACCATTTTAATCAAATTCAGATATAGACCTTATCAATTACATTACTGAAATGAAACAATGAGTCATCGAGTTATTATTTATATCGTTACAATATTCAAAATCAATTAGAGAATTTTTGTAATGCTCAATATTGTTGAAATGTATCCATTCAAATCTACATCCTGTCGAATTTATAAGATTCAATCGGAATTGAATAGTAGGAAGAAATTAGTGTGGAAAAGTCCAGCTGATTGTTTCATTTTAATCATTTCCAGTCCAATTTCGCCAGAACTGAATCACAATTACCTACTATAAGTTTTATTTCAATGAACTCGCTGCAATATTTATGAACGATTGAGAATAACTATCTCTAAAGTGAATTAATGCATTATACATTCTTGTCTCTCGCAATTCTCGATAGTAATGAGTTATTTCTATCAACAAAGAAGTAAAAGTAAATATGTACTAAATTAGTTGATTCATTCATTGATTGATTGATTGATTAATGGCAGAATGATCAGTCAGGGTTTGAAGCCCAAAACACTGCAGCCTTTGGGCCTATTGTATTCCTGATCATGCTGTTGACTTAGGTGAACAGGTTCGCTACCTTGATGAGGTTTAGCAGCCTCTTCACCAGATCATTCTTTGAAAATGCCTCTTGAGAGTTTACTGCTCCCAGGAGGTTGTATCTCCAACGCGCTAGTGCTTCGCACTCCAGTATTACATGGGTGGCAGTTTCCTCCTCCTCATTGCATAGTCTGCATATGGGTTCGTCTGTATAGATGCCCATTTGATGCATATGTTTCCTCAAGGGGCAGTGACCGGTTATTAGTCCCGTCACTTGTTTGATCTGACTTCTGTTTAGGCTCAGAATGTCGTTAGTCACTGTTTTGGACAGTGTTCCAACCATCAGTTTACTGTGTCTTTGTCCTGGGACATTGTTCCAGTATGCCTGATGTCTTTCTTGCATCCACCTTGCCAGCCAGCCGCGTATTGAGGTTTTGGGGATACCGAACACAGGTTCCGGCCCCATAAACAACGTCGCAGACCCTTGCCGGGCAAGAGCGTCAGCTGCTTCATTGCCTTCAATTCCCTTATGCCCTGGCACCCATTGAAGAGTTACCTTGTTGTGGTTAGCCAGGGTTAGCAGGCTTTGAAGGCAATCCCAGACCAATTTTGATCTGATTTTATTGCATGTTAGAGATTGAATGGCCGCCTGACTATCTGAGCATATGAGGATTTGTTTACCTCTGTATCCTCTTACGATATTCTCTCTCAGGCATGCCTCAATAGCATGCACCTCTGCCTGGAATACTGAAGCATACCTCCCCAAGGAAGCACACATCCTGGTTCTGGGTCTATCTCCATATATTCCGGCACCCGTGCCCTCATCAGTCTTAGAACCGTCAGTGTACCATACTAACGTGCCTTCCTGACAGTTAGTCAAGACCCTTTCATCCCAGTAGAGCTGAGTGTTGAAGGGTCTGTAATAGTTATTTCTAGGCAGCATTTTGTCCCTTCCCATATCCATTAGTGGGCTTGAAACTTGGCTGATTATTTTTGTATGTCCCAGGGAGTCACCCCGAGCATACCAGTTGCCGGTACACTCCAGTCTGTATGCCCCCATCCTCGCTTCCGCCCTGATGAAGATTTCAAGAGGTGGAATATTGAGTATGGTTTCCATAGCAGCGGTAGGAGTGCTGCGCATAGCACCTGTGATGCAGAGACAAGCTAATCTCTGGAGTTTTGAAAGCTCCATTATAGCTGATCTCTGTTCAGTCTTAGGCCACCAGACAAGCGATCCATATACAATCATTGGTCTCACCACAGCAGTATACAGCCAATGTACCATGCGTGGTTTCAGTCCCCATGTGTTACCAATCGCTCTCCGAGAAGCCATTAGTGCCATTTTGCCTTTGCTGACAGTCTTTCGCAGTTGAGTATTCCAGGTTAGCCTAGCATCTAGGGTTACTCCCAGATACTTAACCTCCTGTGTCATACTTAGCTGTGTGTCAAAAAGTCTGGGAACTTTTAGTTTGTCCAGTTTCTTCTTTTTCGTGAAGGCCACAAGTGCAGTTTTACCAGGATTGACCCTGAGGTCTGCCTTTCTGCACCAGCCCTCTACTATCTTCAGGGCTCTCTGCATCAAGTCTGAAATAATTTCAGGATGCTGCCCCTCTACTAGAATGACAACATCATCTGCATACCCCTGTGAGTAAATTCCTACATTGTTTAGTTTTTTCAGGAGTTCGTCAATAACCAGATCCCACAGCAGGGGAGAAAGAACTCCTCCCTGTGGGCAACCCCTAGAAATCGTCACCTCCATGGTTTCACCAAGCAATGTGGATTCCGCTGTTCTGTTGTGTAGCATGTTTTTTATCCACCGACATGTGGTGTCTTCCACGCCACGCCCAACAACCGCTGCTACCATGGATATGAAGGGTGTGTGGTCGAATGCCCCTTCAATATCCAGGAAAGCCGCAAGAGCTATGCTCTTGTTGCTTATTGCGGCCTCAAGTTTCCCCGCCAGTTGATGAAGTGCCGTTTCACAGGATTTTCCCGATTGATATGCATGCTGGTTTTTATGTAGTGGCCTTTCAATGAGAAAGTTTTCCCTGATATGCATTTCAATTAACTTCTCCATCACCTTCAACATGAATGATGATAGTGTTATCGGCCTGAACGCCTTAGCCTGAGAGTAATCTCTTCCAGGCTTTGGGATGAAGACGATCCTCGCTCTCTTCCATGCAACCGGAATGTACCCCGTTGCCAGGCTTGCTCTCAATATCCCACAAATAAACGGAGCCAGCTGTTCCTTACCCTGCTGTAGCATTGCAGGGATAATTCCGTCCGGTCCCGGCGCCTTGTAGGATTCAAGAGTTTCTATGACCCACAGCAGTTTACTGTGGTCAACAATCTTCTTCGATACCCGCCAGTCCCCAACAGCAGCCCTCATGTGAGGGTTTAGTGGGTCTGGTAGATTTTCGTTTTCAATTTCAACCGAATCTGGAAGATGAGCCCGAAGTAGAATCTCCAGAGTTTCCCTGCCAGTTTCAGTATATCTCCCGTCAGGTTTCATTATATTCCCCATAGGATTAACAGGTGCCTTGGCTAGGATTCGATGGAGGCGTGCTGCTTCAGAGGTTGTTTCCACCTCTCCACAGAAACGCCTCCACGACTCCCTTTTCGCCCTACGGATCTGTTTATTATAATTGGTCAGAGTGATGGAATACTGCCCCCACTCCCCAGTTTTCTTCGCCTTATTGAAAAGTTTGCGTGTTTCTTTTCTTAGCGTATTAAGTTCTTCGTTCCACCAGCTAACGTCTTTGCTGCTGTTGCGCCTTACCAAAGGACAGTTGTCCTGATATGAGGATATTATTGCCTCCTGCAACTGACAGGAGGCTACCTCTACATCAGTGCCGTTTTTGATAATCTTCTTGACGTTTCCTAGGTTTATTGTTAAGTCCTCTCTGAATTTCTCCCAGTTCGTACCTCTCGGGTTTCGATAGGCTTCTGTCGGGTGTTCAGTATCTGAAATTTCCATACAGATATACCTATGGTCCGACAAGGACGGTTCCTCAGATACACGCCACCGAGTTACCTGAGAGCTTATTCTAGAAGACGCCAGGGTTATGTCAATGATCTCCTTACGAGTTTTGGTAACAAAAGTTGCTTCGTTCCCGCGATTCATTATAACTAAATTCTTAGAAATTATGTAATCTAATAGGAACTCACCCCTTCTGTTTGTGTCGCTGCTCCTCCAAGCTGTGCTGTGAGCATTGGCATCAATGCCAAAGATGTGCTGTAGGTTTGAAAGCCTGCAGTACTCCTCTAGCCTCTCCAGTTCTGCTGACGGAGGTGGCCCGATAGAATCGTATGGCAGATACACTGAGGCTATTATGATTTCCGTCCAGATTCCTCCCATACGTATTTTCAGCCTAATTGCTGCCTGGTCCCTAGAACAGAAATCAAGCAGTTTTAGTGCGTGTAGCTCGTTCTTAACGAAAACGCAGGATCTCACATTCCCTGCCGTCAGATCGTATATTACCTTACCCTTGGCTTCTCCCAGTCCTGAGACTCGTCCCCCGTGAATCCAGGGCTCTTGTATCAGGACTATGTCAGCTTCGCCTCGGGACAGGTACCTCACTAAGGCAGCAGTCGCAGCCTTTTTATGCTGCAGGTTTACTTGAAGGACCTGCAGCATCTTCGGCGCTCTTTTTACTTACCACCCTGAAGGTAAGTTGGGACAGGCCTAGGTAGGCTTTGAAGCCTCTCTTGGCCAACTCCTTCAGGTTGAGGTCGTCAATTCCAAGAACAAGGGTAATTCCTTGTTTGTCGGAATTGGTGGAAATAATCCTCCAGTCTCCTGTTTTAATGCCCTTGTTCTGGGTTTCCAAACCATTCATTCATAGACGACACCGTGCCAGAATATATCGATTTATCGACAATTGAAAATGAACAGGGTGGAGACTCCACTACTGGAATAAATTCGCTAGCGGGCAGGTGAATGATTTTTCTAAAAATCACTGAGACACGTCAACGTTTTAATGTATTCACCTGGTACATTCTGCAATCAATATGAAGATAATCCTTCAGGGGTAGCTGAAATCAGCCCCAACATGTTTTTTTTTTCAAATACATCCCTATGGCTGCTGACCCCTCATTGGAAAGCTGGTTTAAACGAGAATCCAAATTCCTGATGAAAAATTTTTTCGATTTTTAGTGACAGAGATATTCGAAATTCGACTTGAGTATATTTTGCTTAAAAAAATATGAAATATGGATTACTCGGTCGGGAAGTTTTAGTTTTTGATCATTTTTCACTTTCTACGAAGTCTGTAATACTGATTGAATTAACACCGATAAAACTATTGCATACTAGTAGCTTAATTATATTACTAACTTTCAATCACTAATTATCGACATAAATATGATTTTCTTCAGAAAATAGTGATCCCTGCTTCAAATTTCTGTTGTTAGATCAAGGAGGGAAATTTCATCCAAATGGAATTTTTCAGTACTAAAATGATGCCAAAGCCATCTATCAAAATATCTTGAAAGTTGCAATAGACCGTTCAAATTCGAGACATGTGTAAAATTGGAATAGAAACAACTATTCCCAGTAAACTTTCTTGAAATTCGAACCAGTGAGTCAATTTCCATCCATTAATTTCAAAAAATGTAACATTTGACCTGTAGCAAAAGTCATCTTTTGCGAAGGAAAACCTAGCGTCCAAGATGAATTTGGAAATTAATTATCATCAATAGTTGTTCTCATATGATGCCAACTTTATGAATGACCCTGTATATGCTCATCCACGTTGTGAACGCCAAGAGCCGAAAAACTTATCCATCCTCGTTCCAGGCCAAAACATTCCCATGCCGCCGAGGCCGTCCAGCGGCCAGTCCGACGGCAACGGCCCCGGCCGCCTCAGCCACTCGCCCATGGTCGCCCAGGGCGGCTACCCCGCCCCGCATCCCGCCCACGGCTACAAGCCGCACCCGAGCCTAGGCGCGGGCGGTGCGGGCGGGCCGGCCGGGCAGCAGCTGCCGCTCTACCAGCCCGGCCAGTACGCGCCGCGGCCGCCCCCCTCCGGCGTCCAGTATCTCGGCCAGTACGGACCGCAGGCGCCGCCGCAGGCTCCGCCGCCGCAGCAGTTCGCCAGAGGCGGGGCGGCCAATCATATGCAGAACTCGCAGTTCCCGCCCTACCAGCAGGTACGGTTACTTTGTATATTGATGAAATAAACCTCTGGTGCGCTCACTCTTCATTTGTTTCGTCAGACTGGTTCTTGATATAAACAATTGAATTTCAGACGATGACGTGGGGTTCACATATCGAATGTTAGATGGCGTGATTCTTAGAACTTATGATCAACATCAGTTCTACCAACCTTGATGCGGCTAAATCGCAAAATGTATTCCCTATCTTCATTGGTCACAATTCGGTCACAATTGTCACATTGATGCCTGTAATTTTGGTACGGCACCAGACTAAATTTAGCGACATTCGCCCACGCCATATTATGTTCATCGAAGTAGGCGAAAATCAAGGAATTGTAAAACAGGAAAGGATTGAAGTGCGTACACCAGAGGTTTATTTCATCAATCTTTGTATAATTGTTATGTCATTCCAAATCAATCCAAATGAGGTAGAGTTTGTTGAAGTTTCCAGAGCTGCCTAAAAAACAAAAACAATCTGGTAAACAATGGGAAAGACCACTGAGGAAGAAATCCGTGCAAACCTCTTTCAATCGACCAATCATGATTTACGTTTGATCTACAAACAATATTATGAGTTGAAGTTGAAGGAAATCGAATCTATATCGTTTTGAAATCAGCATATTTCATTCGTTATTTCGAGTAGCCAAATATGATGGTGGAGCTGTGACGTATTAGTCCCGCACTGTAGCTATCTCTCTCTGATACCTCGTCATTCTGCAGTGTTGCAGTGTGATTGGTGAGTTCAAGGACAATAGGCGTGTTGGGACTAAGACGTCGCACCAGTCTCACCAATGAATTGACAAAATTTCAAATGGCGCAGGAATTGTGTGTTTTGAAATGGACATATTCTAATTTATTTTTTTCATCGTCTTCGCATGAATGAAAAAATTCAAAATTAATTCACTGGTACTTTTTCAGTATAGAGTTCACGATAATGTCGTTTCAAAAAATCAGTGGTCTCCCCTATTATAATAAAGGGGAATTCAATTCGTAATTTGTTGGAACCTCCGAACGGATATCGGAGGTTAGAACCCTATGTCCCAAGGTTAGTCTATGTCCTATGTAAATATGAATATTCTTCCTGTCTGCCCTGCGATGGGATGACTCAATTCTCGCGGTGGTGTTTTAGTTTTCAATACTCTTTTATTCATTTTGCTATTGGCCATCACGTTCACAGTATGGATATCTGGTATAATTACCAAGGTGATCTAACCAAATTCAGACCAAATTTAGTTTACACGTGTTCACACCATATATCTTGAGTTTATTTACTAATATCACCAACTTTGTTTTGATGTGATTATTATTTTGAAGTTAGGTTGTGGAACTCTACTTGAATAAGTAAATAATGAATCATTATGGATAAATCCTTTTAGCAAGATTCAAAATTGAATGTGATATTGTTTTGAAGAATCATAAAACTCAACTCACTTGCACTCAACTGTAGACCAAAGAGACCCTCTTGGGAACAAATATCGGCAGCAAACCAACCTGCTAATCATACCAAAGGCACAGTTTACACCACACTGACCAAAAGTATTCAGTTAAAATATAGTCGTTAGACAGCTAACCAAGATACGGTATAAACGTGGCCAATGTTACCAAATGATGCACACATTTATTAACCCCAACGTGAGTTATGTATTGCTTTTTTTTCCTAAATTTGGATATTGGATCTAGATCGTCCCCCAGGAATGAACCTTAATTACGCCACTGAGTTTTTTGTTCTCGACCGGCTTGACCGATTGGTCGTTTGTGTCATATGACTAATCAAAATGAAATTACGAATGTTGGTCGAATGTTGGTCGCTTGTATACAAAAACCTTTAAAACCGTAAACTTCACTGATCAATTGATAATATTCCTAAAGTAATAGTAGGGGAGCCAGTAGCAGATTCTTGCGACCAATATCATCTCAGTTTTTTTTCTCATTTTGAATAGGGTATACGCGTGTGAAAATTTTACACTGGAATATATTTTTGTTCCATTACTCATGTGTATAAATGTCGAATTATACATCCGAAAAACATTATTAAGCACCGAATATTCAATGATTTCTGATTGAAAATCATAATATTTGCAACTTTCCGACCAACAGCCGAACTGCAGCGATGATTTCCAACTGGATGTGGCTGTTTTTATTTGTCATGTCAAACATTCATGGGAAAATATAGAAGAAGAATACCATGGCTGCATGTTCATGTCCGAAAGATTGAAAATAATATAAGAGAAAGTGAGGTTATGATTATCTGAGCTTGTAGTTTCTACAAAGTATCTCAATTATATTATATATTCTGAATAATAATAACTGAATAATAAGCAAATATCTACAATAAGAAGGATCAAACAGGACTTCTTTTTGTTGTTTCAAATATATATTACTACCTATCAATTTATATCTCATATAGTTTTCCATATCTTCTTCAAGCTGAAAACGAAATCACATATTATATTATTCTCCTAATAACATGAGGAACATAATCATTGATATATAATGGGTTTCACTAGGACATACTTGAACGTATACTCACTTCGAAAAGGTCTTCACAAACAAATCCTCTGGTTTTCTCGGATAAATCATTTCTACTTATGGCTTGCAACCATCATTTTCTTTTCTCTTTTTTTTTATCACTCGATCCCACTGGCAATGGAAGGAATATTTTTCCTGGCGATACTTTTGTTGATGAAAGGCATTGCGGCACTAGGCAGTATTTGGTATAAACATTATCATTTTCCATTTTCAAATTTCAAATTTCGGGCGTTTGAAACTGCTTTCTTCTCCTACCTCTTCTTCTTCTTTTTTTTTTCAATCTGAATCTTGTCATTCTGTCGCGCTAGTCTATGGCTGTGCGGCCTAATACTATGACGTCATAATATTAGTGATGGCCACTAACCCGTTTTCCTGTGACTTCATATTTAGCCTCATTTAAATGAAATTTTTTAGAGTCACAAGCAAATTTGAGATTAATGAATGATATCCAATGTTATTATAAGGAAGAAGGAATATAATTTCGATTAAACAAAAAATCATGCGTATTCCTTATTGACTCGGCCGTTACTTGATGGAAATCCATGGCAAATGTAAAAACTTCACAGACGATAAGATTTCCACAAAATTCTCAAACACACGACATGTTTCGCTAACACAGTAGCTTCGTCAGGTGATATACTGGTATATACTGGTACTATGAACTTAGTTCGTCAGGTGATATACTGGTATGTACTGGTATATACTGGTATATACTGGTATATACTGGTATATACTGGTATATACTGGTATATACTGGTATATACTGGTATGGTTTATGCAAAGTCAGTTGAACAGATCATCAAACGAATGTCGGGCCGCGCTGCCGCACTCTTTGTACTTTCAAAGGAACCGACGGCTTGCGGTGATGTGTTTTTCCATCTGACTTTGCATAAACTATACTATGAACTTAGTTCATTGTACCAGTATATCACCTGACGAAGCTACTCTGTTAGCGAAACACGTCGTGTGTTTGAGAAATTTGCTTAAGCAATTTGATCAACTCAATGCCACGGCGGTTGAATAATTGAGAAACGGGAAGGCAATGAGTGATATCAATGTTCTGATGTTGTTAATCAATGAGTTCATGTAGCTTTTAAAAAGAAGATATTGTCGTGAATCAGAAACCATTGTGTTGAGAAGAGATCACGCTTCAATCCAAAACATGATAAATCTAAGTTGAATCACTCACTTTTGCCACAGGACTTTGAGAAGTCGAGCGTAAAATAATAACTTTTTTTTGCTCTGTATAATGATCAACCCATCAGCTTCTTTTGGAAACAAGAATTCAGGTTAATTTTAAGAAACGTGAATCTATGATTTGGTAGGAATTTCAGGAAAATTAGGGCGACCAATTTTGATCATTTTTTTGACCGCCGGTTTTTTTGCCGGTTGAGTGTATCATATTGTTGGCTCTGTTTGCGTGGTTATTTTCGAGGAAAAACGGCTTATTAATCCGCTCGCTCTGCCAGCAGGGATGGCAGCCCGCGATGGCCGGCGCAGGCGCGAAAGGCAACGGCCCGAATCCGCCCGCGCAGTCGCAGTCGCCGCGGCCGCCGCACTACCTCAAGCACCACCTGCAGCACAAGATGGGGCCGCAGCCGCCCAGTCCGGGCCCGCCGCAGGCCTACCACATGGGCCCGCCGCACCACTCGGGCATGGGTCCGCCCTCGATGGGACCGCCGTCGAGCAGCGCTCACCTGCCGAACAGCCATCCTGGGTAGGGCAGCGCGATATCGGGCTTTGGGGGTATCGATATTTCGGAATTTATCGATAAGTTCGATATATCAATACAAGACAATACAATCATTTATTCATCCCAAATAAACTGGTCAACATTGATAACGTCGTGGCCCAAAATATAGCCTGAATTCAAAGTAGGATAACGTACATCAATTTGAAATCGGTTTTCACCGATGATTAGCCTAATTTCTTGACAGTTTGTTGTGTAGTAATATGAAACTTCTGTAATTTCAGATAACATTGCTACAGGGTGATAATTGAATGGGTGTTGATTCTTCGAAAAAGAATCCCAACTTCCAATTTCATTCAATTGATCGTCGAAAAACCCTAATAACACAATTACATCTGTAAGACATCGTAGAAACATCCATATGGGATGATAGGAACATCTCTGGAAAATCCCTATTTTCCTTGGGACATTCTTGGGATGTTGCTGGCAACACCCGTGTCAGCATTTGCGATGTCTTATAAACATCCCAACAGAATGTTTGTGGGATGATACGGGATGTACCAGAGACATTCAGGATACTTGATATGGAACATCTTAAAGAGACTATTAGGATTTTTTGGGTTGATGACAGTAATGGATGACACGATATGCATTATTTTCAATATGATATCCTGAAAATGGCCTATTTCCAGATATAAAGTAACAATCCGAGTCCGAATATATAAGGTCGGTGCGGTCCAATAACTAATGGAAGATGAAAACAGTTGTTTGAGGCTCATATTTGTTGACGCTGGGCCGACGGCTGTTAGTAACTCTTAGCAACGTAGTTGTACCGCCATCTATCGGCTGGCATAACAAATAAATTCAGCAATGAATATGCTGAAGAGATATATTACAATTTTGTCGTTTATTACATGGTTCATGAAGTTGAGCAGGTACTTACGTAATCTTATTGAGGCATATTTAGTATAATTATTTCAATTTGTTATCGATGAGATTAGCCGGCGTTGGTATAGGTATAAGTATATGAGTACGAATACAGTTTTGATTTCCATTTTTTACCAACTTTTCAATGTTTCAAATGTCACAATTGTTTGAACTGTTCAATCAATCATCATTAGCAGATATGGAACCATGGTATTGTTCATAAAAAAAGATCGAATGGGATGTTTCTAGAACATCCAATGAAAACATCTGATGGATGTCCCAAGAGAAACATCTCTGGGATATCGTACCTAAGTCTGAAACATTGGGACATTTGTAGGACCTTAGCGGGATGTACCAGCAAGATCCCGTGTTGTTAGGGAAATGCATCATTTCAAATGAATATCCAACAAGATTATCAAAGCTCTGAATTTGAAAATTCCGAAAAGGTTTCGAGAGAATGCATCAATCAAGAGGATACAGGTGAGAAATAAAATTTAAAAAATTATCTGTTCAAACGGTAAGGTGACGACCACGATGCAATTTTACACCCATTCAATTATCACCCTGTAGCAATGTTATCTGGAATTACAGAAGTTTCATATTGCCACAACAAACTGTCAAGAGATTAGGCTAATCATCGGTGAAAACCGATTTCAAATTGGTAAGGAAATTCGTGAGTTATTCTATTTTGAATTCAGGCTATACAGGGTGTCCCACTTATCATGCTCACCATGGGTATCTTTTAAACGGTGAGAGATACGAGGTCGGTTAAATGACACCAAATGTGGAGTTTGTCAAGGCCAACTATAGTGTGAACAAATATTTTGATAAAATCTATTCGTTTTTGTTTTATACGCAAAAAACAGATTTTGATCATTTTCATGTCTCCTCCATAACTTCTTTATTTATGAAAATATTCAAATAGGAATTTCACATTCTCATGGCAGTTTTTCAAAGTGATTTCGAAAAAAATATGAAATTTATACCAACTCTTCTAGAATTTGAGATATCAGCACCAACTTTAGTTTTTCAAATGTAGGTAGCTCAATATGACCCAGTTACAAATAACTTTTTTTTCTCTTACAGATGATATGTCGCAGTAATAGTTTTGTGTTGATAACAACGGAGTTATCGTCATTTACACAAAAACGATCTCCGACCTCAAAAACACACACTCACCAATTTTGAATGGAATCGGACCAAATCTTGTCCGCCATCTTGAAGCAGCCATTTTTTTCAATTTCAACGAAAATTCCATAATGTATTGTCACCGAAATTATGAACACCTGCCAAATTTCGAGTTAATCGGAAATATGGAATTTTTGTTGAAATTTAAAAAAATGGCTGCTCCAAGATGGCGGACAAGATTTGGTCCGATTCCATTCAAAATTGGTAAGTGGGGGTTTTTGAGGTCGGAGATCATGATTTTTTTGTCAAAATCTATAAATTCAAGATGGCGGCTTCCAAATAATTTTTTGTTTTTGTATGAATGGCGATAACTCCGTTGTTACCAACACAAAACAATTACTGCGACATATCATCTGTAAGAGAAAAAAAAGTTATTTGTAACTAAGTCATAGTGAGCTATGACCTACATTTGAAAAACTAAAGTTGGTGCTGATATCTCAAATTCTAGAAGAGTTGGTATAAATTTCATATTTTTCTCGAAATTATTCTGAAAAACTGCCATGAGAATGTGAAATTCCTATTTGAATATTTTCATAAATAAAGAACTTACGGAGAAGACATGAAAATTATTTGACTATAAAACAAAAACGAATAGATTTTATCAAAATATTTTTTCACATTATAGTTGGCCTTGACAAACTCCACATTTGGTGTCATTTAACTGACCTCGTATCTCTCACCGTTAAAAAGATACCCATGGTGAGCATGGTAAGTGGGACACACTGTATTTTGGACCACGACGTTATCAATGTTGACCAGTTTATATAAATAAAAGAGTAATGGGGTGAGCCACTTTTGAGGAACACCCGGTATACTATCGAACAGTCACGAAATATCGATATATCCATATTTTAAAAAAATAATATCATTCGGTACATCGACGAATTCATCAACACACACATCCACTTTTCTTCGCAGCCCCAACCCGGGTCACGACGGCGGGCCGATGCCTCCGCCGAGCAGCACCCCCAACTCGCACGCTACCGGCGCCGACATGATGGACAACGGGATCACGACGACGGCAGCCGGCCCGGCGATGGGGACGCTCGTGACGGCGGCGGCGGCGGCGCAGGGGTCGGTCACCTCGGTGGTGACCACGGGGCCGGACGGGGCGCCCATCGACGAGGGGTCGCAGCAGTCGACGCTGTCGAACGCCTCGGCGGGTGAGTCGGTTTTTTTTCAACAGCCTTTTATCAGTTTCGCCTGTATTCATTCATTTTTTCACCAGTAGCTCTAGAACCTACCATTATTTACTCCTTTTCAGGGGGTAAAGTGTGTTTACTACCAACGTAGCTTCCGTCATTTTGTGAACCACTAGTCAATAAAGACATGGCCACCTCTGATATATAATTGACCCGAATTCACTGTTCTTATAGGTGCGTTTTGTTGATTACCTGTGGAATAGAATAGAATGGTTGTGCAAGAAAACGGAATTAACCCAAATAATAGAATAAAATGATTGATCAAGTAAACGGAAATTTCATGATGGTAACCTGACTTTTTTCCTCATGTAATAGCCTTCTTTGCATGGATTCAACGTCGAGGAGAAATACTGTAGTTATTTGAAAATGATACTTTATTGAATCTCCGAATCCTCAATGGAGAAATCCTTCTGGCAGCGACATAATTCCTATCCAATTTAATAACAAATACCATATTCATATTCATTCGTAATATAAACTCACTATTTTCACTCACTAGCTTTGGGTGAGAAAATCAGAAAATCAGAAACCTCGAAAATGAACATTCAATACCGCCATTTTATTCGATTTCTCTTCTTGACATCTTATTCCATCGTCCTGTTCGATCGAAATATATCGAGCAGCCAGAGCGAATAACTTTTGAAATTGTTGGCGCGATTACATAGAATATGTCAAGAAAACGCATGGAATAGCTGCTACAGAACTAGGTTAGCGTCAACAATACGCACCTATTATGAGATTCATAGGAATGACACTCAAATATTGTAGGTGTCAATAACGACTTGGCATATGCTGTCATGGTCATGGCATTGATGAAATAAACTGCTGGTGTGCTCACCCTTCATTTGTTTCATCAGACTGATTCTTGTTATAAACAATTTAATTTCAGACGACGACGTGGGGTTCACATATTGAATGTTAGATGGCGTGATTCCAAAAACTTATGATCAACATCAGTTCTACCAACCTTGATGCGGCTAAATCGCGAAATGTATTCCCGATCTTCATTGGTCACAATTGTCACATTGATGCCTGTAATTTTGGTACGGCACCAGACTAATCTTAGTGAGATTCAGCATCGCCATGTTATGTTTATCGAAGTAGGCGAAAATCAAGGAATTGTATATCAGGAAAGGATTGAAGTGCGTTTATTTCATCAATGTCATGACAATTAGATTTGAAAACAAGTGCTTCCAGACTCCAGAGTGACAATAGGTCCATATTTCAGTTTCACAGAACTATCATGATTGAAATATACTGCTAGTGGGGAAAAAATTTAATATACACCTTGGTAGTGAATACTATTACCATGGGACCTCAGAACGTTAGAAAAAATATATCTACAGGGGTCGGTCACCTCGGTGGTGACCACGGGGCCGGAAATGGCGCCCGTCGACGAGAGGTCACAGCAACACCCATAGAAGAGGAGATATTTGGAGAAAACGATTGAATATAATATACCTCAGAAAATAAAACTTCAAACTCAACTCTTCAATTTAATTTTCTATCAGGGAAAAATGTTAACATGATATAAAAAGAATGGCGGTATACAAATTGACTTACATACCTTGGGAGAGGAAGAAGGTACCTTGGAAGAATTGATTTTTGGACAAGTCCGTGCCCAGGATTTTTTTTTTTCGGGGGAGAGATTCACGAAAAAAAACTGCTAATTCAAATTTTTTTTCGAACTGAAGGGAAAAAGTCGGATTTAGGCTGTCATTTCAGACGGGTCCAGACCCCCCCCCTCTGGGCACGTCTTTGAATTTGAAATACGGTGTACCGGATTCATTTGAAAGGGTGGATAGCATTATTACCTACTAAGAAAACAAATTCAACAGTGGTTAATTATTGAGATCGTTGAGAAAAATGTTAGAATTTTTGCGTATGTTGATTTCTAATGATTCAAAATTATCGAGTTTTATTTCTTTTTTTCTACGTGTACAATTTTGAAATTATCATCGGAACTATGGTTTTCTTCTAATGTATGGTTCGCATATGTTGAATTTGTAATTTACCAAAAAATTCATTTTATGTTCATGAATGCAGTGATTAAATGTTCGACTTGTCTGACCGATATATACCTTGAAACTAGATCAACAGTTAAGTTTGTATACGCCTGATTTTTAGAATTCAGAAGGTTTGCCTTTATTATTTTTTATAAACCTTCCCAAAATGTTATTTAATCTTTAGGCAACTTTCAAGTCCTCTTTATGTAGAAACATGACTCACCCAGTATGGTTTTAGGATTTTTGTTATCGGAGCGAGGTTTATTTCATCAATATCGGAGCATTCCACAGATGACTTCATTGACATTTTACTGCATATTTCTCATTTATCATATACCATCATTCCAGCACAGGTGTTCATACTTACAAGCTCATACACATTAATTTTTTTTTTCAAGCAAATTTAATTCAACACCTCGCCTTCTTTGGTATGCAAAAATTCAGATAGGTACAAGTATATCCGCCACGGTCACGAAAAACTTCCTGGCAAAGACGTCCTATACCCAAAATAAGAGACCAAATGTCATTTTTGTCCAGGTCTTTGCGAATTTGAATCATCTGCCTATGCCGTCCGTTTTCCAAAGTATTCAAGTTATGTTCCTCTTGTGATCTTGTCCCAAGAATGTCCCTGAGTTTCTCAATGGGACTTGAATCCGGGCTCCGAGCTGGCCATGCCATGGTACCGATACAGACTTCCTCTACATAATTTCTCACAACTCGGGCGACGTGAGGCTTGGCATTGTCTTACATGAACAAAAATCCTAACACTATATGTGGTTCTAAAATCACCGATATGTACCAATCCAAGGCTTCCATTTATGATCACAGGTACCATGCGACCAGTCAAAGAAATGCCTCCCCATACCATATCCTGCTACCATCGTGCTTATAATGCCAATTGATTTTAATAAAATCATGTTATGCTTTAAAATTGTGTTTTTGGAGAAATAGGAAAGATAATGGAGTAAATCCAAAAACGAAATGTTGAAAAAAGATAAGGCTGGAGTGTACTTTCAATTCCAACTCGATAATGTAACTGTTACACTCCACAGGGTATCACAAATTTCATTAAAAAACATGCTATAATTGCTACACCTGGTATTCACAAAAAAGAAGTTCTTATGTGAATACAGTTTGCACACAAGTAGTTTTGACGAAAATGTTTCGTAAACTTTTGGCTACTTTTTGGTGGTGCGTTAATTTCTTGGAGACGTGTACTCTACTGCGCGTTTTTGCAATATAAAAACTGAGTGTGTCATTCTTTGTTGACCGTTTCCTCTCTATTTATCCCCCCAGCTTCAGGCGGCGAAGACCCTCAATGCACTACCCCGAAGGCGTCTCGCAAGAACGACATGGGCCACTACGGGCACCCGACGACTCCCCAAGGGGCAGGGCAGTCGCCCGGGGCGGCCGGCATGAATTCCATGCACGACGAATACGGAGACCTGGGCAGCCCCAGCTGGCAGCGCACCCCAGCTAGCCCGGTAAGCGTCGGAACTGTGTTGTGCTTATTTTTTTTCTCTATTTTTGGCCATCAAATTGTTCATGTCCAATTGTTGGAATTCATATCCACAAGGGGGGAATTCGCTATTTATACAATGTGGGCCACAGGCCGAATTATATTCTTTAATAGTTTGGCGAGGGTTAAACCACCTTGGCATTATGGTGTACAGGCAGTGAAATATCCAGTGGGATTCCAGGGGCCCGATTCTCGAATCTGTAGGAATTCGATCCTATAGCAGAATGATCCAATGCTTTCAGTTCTCATGGGAAATGATAATTTGTCATGTCATGACACCTATTCTTGAACCAAATGGAATAATTTTTCCCAGGGGATTGAAAAAGTGCCGTATGTCGTAGATAGATTCTTGAGCTTACATGAATTCACCAATGGAATAAGTGCAATTTATGTTGGTAACAGGTGGATGATTGAAATGAAATGTTGACATTTTGATTTTGACTAATTTTGAGGTTATGATATAATATAATTTTGCGATGGAGAGATTATTGTGTATTGTATATCTACTATATTTCCTCTGATCAAAATGAATATGGATACAAACAATATCAAAAAACCACGAGATGGTAGTATCAGCAAAGAGCAGAAAATACGTTTAAAAGAAGTGATATAGAGGCCCCTGAGGACTTGAGGAAAGGAAAATTCCAACCCAAATTCACTTCACATCACAAATGAGAATAACTTCCTATTTCATGAGTGTATTCTTTGGGAAACATGCTGTTCCCATGGATATCACCATGGGAAGCAGTTCTCTTGAAATGTGAAGGAATAGTTCCCATACAATAGTTCAAGAATACATCATCTCAAATTCCATGTGATATATCGTGTTTTCCCATTGGAATGAATTCCAACGGATTCGAGAATCGGGCCCCAGTGGGATTCCTGGTGGATTCCGTGGGATTCTGGGTGGATTCCGTGGGATTCTGGTGTACAGGGTGGGCAACATTTGTCGTTTTCGCGGGCTATCTCAATAACTAAATGAGTTCTGTAAAAACCGATATACAAGTTACGGGTTCGTTTTTAGAGAAACCTAAGATGGCGCTATTGGAATTTTGATATCTTCATTCGTTTCAGAGATACAGGGGGAAATTGAAAAATTGCGTATTTCGTTTTTATATCCTGAGTACTTTGTGGTGAAGGATATTGAAAAATTCCAAACATTTATTGATGAAGTATGATTCGTAGAATCCATTGGCATCATTAGAAATCTTCAGGGTGACATTGAAAAGATATGGCAGCCAATTTTACTTCTTCTTATGGAACACTCAGTATATTTTAACACAGTTGGATAGTCCAAGGTGTTCCAATTAAGACTTCGTTTTTAGAATTATCATTTCGAAAATCACGATTTCAATAGCTCTTGAATTTGCCCGTAGAAAAAAAATTACAATCTAAAGTTGGTGTAGTATTTCAGGTTAATCAGTGAAATTATTTGACGTTTCGTTTCTCAATGTCCGTACACCTGTGACGTAGGTACTGATTTTCTTCAGAATTGTGAATATTTTCATCGTTTTCTGCCATTCACCACAATCACCCAATGAAAATTACAAAATTGTTTCTCCTTGAATTCATCTTGTGTTCGTTTTTTTTTGTATTCACTGAAGAAGCTTACAATAACTAACTCACTCCAATCAATACAATGTATACCAATTTAAACTATAATGTTTATATCTTTATTCTTCCTTTGTAACTGGTTTTGATGTGCCTTTGTCCTGATTCAATTCTGATGATTTATTGTTTTTGGTTGGATTGAGTGAATTTTCTTATTTGATTTGAGCTAATTGGCGGGTATTTACAGGTGTTTAACAGTCATGTGCCTCCGCCGGATACGTATCGCTCAAAGGTTGATATCAAATAATATTATTTTTTGTGGTGCTGAAAGAAATTGTTGGTTTATATTAAGAGCATGCGCCGCATGTGTTTAGTGCTTGTTCTTGAATAAAGCCCTTTTGTTACTAATTTGAAAAATTATTGTGAAAATATCAGAAATTTGTTTCTTGCTATTGTTATTATGCAATTTTATCTGGAATTTATGCCAGTGCTGATAAAGGTTAATATTATTTATGATGCTTTTAGAGATCTGTGATGTTTTCCAATAGTAGAGCTATACTTGCCTAATAATTTTGGTAATTCTGTGTGATAACCAATAATATGAAAAAGGTTTACCTTCCATGGCTTTGATATTGATTAAGAAGCCCAGTTGTTTTGTTTGATTAAATTCTTCCTACTGGTTAACAAATTTGACATAAAAAATAACTGCATGTTTGTGACTGTCAATGCATTTCACTAAATAGCTTTGAAAATATTTATTAGCCATAACTTATTATGCTTCACATAATTTAATTAATACTAACTAGTATTTAATGATCTTTATAGCTTCATTGAAGTACCTAAATTACACTCTAATAATGCTTTTACTAATAAATCCGAATTTACCATGTTTCGTTGATCCAATAATTTAATAGTTAGGCAGGGATGGAATTCGATTTGCTCACTGGGAATCCATATTCCCAATCGTTTCCAAGATATAAGATACATTTTGTTATTCAAATGGTGGTTATGTAACTCAATTTCAAGCTGATGGTTCTTCCATAATAAGCATAATTTTTCTTGTAAGCGGTATCCCCTACATTTGCGTTATGAAGAGATATATTTTCACAAAAAAAAATACTGCAGGAATTGTATTTCACATGATTTTTATTGCACAAATGAAAATGCTCTAGGAAAGCTCCTGATCACTTTTTTTTTTGTTATTTAAAGTCGATAGACAGTGGCAGGCAATTTCACAAGTGAAGAAACACTGAATTTTCGCCTGCTTGATCATAAAAAAATATTGAATACAGCCATGTGTACTAGTACACACCTGTACCCCTCAAAACATATTTAAATCAAATTCTTGCGCCAAGTACCTCATTATCAAATCATCGGCAACTGATCTGGGGGTCTATTCTCCAACCGTTCGAATTCAATTCGTATACTAATAAAGAAAGATCGACTTACATAATAAATGACGTATGTTGAAGATCGCATTCGTATACGAAAAACGCTCGAGAATAGGCCTCCTGATGCAGGATGAATTTTTCCTTGCCTTTCCTTTCAACGAGACATGGTGGATTTTGTGTTGTGCCTGGCCATCTCAATTGTGACCGACGAAGCGTGTGTGTGTTTTCCAGAAAACCGACAGCCTAGGTAAGCTGTACGAAATGGACGATAATCCGGACAGGAAGGCCTGGCTGGACAAGCTTCTGGCCTACATGGACGATAGGAGAACGCCCATCACCACCTGTCCTACCATCTCCAAGAATCCCCTTGATTTGTTCCGCTTGTATATGTTTGTTAAGGATCGTGGGGGCTTTATGGAGGTTTGTACTTTTGTCGATCGGTGTTGCGGCCATAGACATATAGAAAGAGGAGAGACGAAATGTTCAACAGTTTTTCACGATCCAACATTGTTTTCATCTGATAACAATGATGATACCGCCTTTGTTTGAAAACGAGGGAAGCATTCATCATACATTAATTATATAATATACATTTTTATATATATTTATTCTGTATGTTTGTTCCTTGATTGAAATATGTGAATTCTGTTATAGAAATAACTTGAATTTTACTGATATCATCATTACATAAAATTATAATACATTATGGAAATTAGTGTGGCAACGCTGTATTGGCGTGTTCTACGAGTTACGCATATCTTTCTTTAATGCATTCACGTATGTCAGAATCCGACGTTACAGTGTTGTTGTGCTGTGGTTGTTACCATTTTAGGACTGTTTGTGTTTCAATTGATTTTCAGTGTTCTCTTGTTATAAAACTATATATAAAGACAGTTATTAAAAGTCTTTTATGGTACGCCATTGCGTGTATTGTGAAGAAGTTCACCATTCAAAACACAAATTGGTATTTCGACGTAAGTAAGGTTATATGTTTTTTTTATCTTGAGCAGTGGCGTAGTTATCGCAGGTCATTTAACTAAATTATTGCAAGAAAGCTTTTTTTTTTGTTCAAATTCCACTGAATGATTGATCAAAATCAGGTAGATACCAACGTACTATGAATATTTGGTATTAAAAATAAAAGATTATACCCAAACATTTTGTAATAGGTATAATAGAGTTGTCATTGTAGTAGAATTGTCTTGCCCCTCGCTCAGGCCACGTGACTGGTAAAGAAAATTGTGAATATTGACGCACAGTTAACAATGTTGCCATAGTTAAAATCCATCTCTTTCTAACTTATTCAAAACTTTGAAAGTATGTATGATTGTAAACAAATAGTGTTTTATGAATGAAATGTTATGTCTCCCCTCTTTTTATATATCTATGGTTGTGTCAATATTTTTTGTCCAGCATCATGAATGCTAAGATTGATGGCCTGGGACATTTTGCAAAGTGTACGTTTTCGAATTATGGGTGGTACGAATGCATTATTAACAGGTATCAAAAGTGGAAATTTGGTTGGACTTTGGTTTTTTGTGGCCCCTTCATTTCTCAGAGAACCATTTGACTCTTTCTGGTTCATGGGAAAAAATATCAACTCAATAACATCCTCGGGTGAAAAGTGAAAATCATTCTTCAAAAAATCCTTGGTGTAAGTACAGGGTCATCTACTATACTTTTGCTTCCCTTTAACTTTTGTTGTAAGAATTATGAATAGCATAATAGAGGTGCTATAAAAATAAACAGTTGCCTTCATAGGTCAGGTGACCTAAAAAAAAATATTTTCTTAAATGGCGTACACCTATATATATATATATAGTTTGCCGGTTATGTTGAGTAATTTTTTGTTAATTTAAATACAGGGCGTGATTGAGTGGCCCCAAATTAATGGCTGCTGGGACCCTATTTCTCTTCATCTGGCGCCCAACGTGGGGTACTTGTTAATACCAAATTGAATTCAGTCTCACTCAAACGGCTTTCAGTTCCACTTGTCTTGGCTTGAGAATTCGTTAGTGTCTTTAAACAAAATTGATACCAATGAATGATATTGAGTGGTTATTTTATTACAAACTCTCTGAGAACCTATTCCTCTTCATTTGGCGCCCAACGTGTGGGGTACCTACTGGTAAAATGACACTCAGTTCCACTTGTATTGGCTTATAAACTTTCCTCTTCTCCGCAGGTGACGAAGAACAAAACGTGGAAAGACATAGCCGGCATGCTCGGCATCGGCGCATCGTCCTCCGCCGCGTACACGCTGCGCAAGCACTACACGAAGAACCTGCTGGCATACGAGTGCCAGTTCGACCGTGGCGGCATCGACCCGCAGCCGATCATCAACCAGGTACATAGATAGATGGAAATATATGGATATAGTAATTCCATGCCCAAGAGGCCAGCCGTAAACACTGTAGCATGCAGTGACTACGTATCAAGAATGTGATTACTAACGCGGTTCTGCAGGCGGTACAACCCCTTCTCGCCTGGCATGGCATGGCGTTCCTGGCGCATTCACCAATAGAACATGATCACGCGTTATTCAGTTTGTTTACGCTGGCCTCTTGGATTTGACTATACTATAGATAGCTATTTAGATTTTTATTTGCCTAAAGATACAGATTTGTAATATATCTGCAGGTAGTATTGGTATACCTGTACAGACAGCTAATATCAAGAAGTATTCCATTATAAAACTACATCAGTGTATCTTTATCGCATAGAGCTTAGGGAAAATGTCTAGCCAATGGGAATGTTAGCTTCAGTTGAGTTTACATTAAATGATTTCAGAACTCCTCAGTTTTATGTTCACACTGAACAGAATGATTATTGGTAAAGTTCCAGTCATTTATATGTTCTAGTCTGAATGTAATGTAGCTAACAAATGAAAGAAATAGAAGGCAACTCAACCTCAAAAAATTCTTAGTAATATTATTATTTTGACGTCATTGTTGATGTTTATATCATGACAAACAGGTAAAACTGATAAATAAAAACATACACGACCACAAAATCAGATCAGCTCAGCCTGTCAGTACTTCAACCATTTTCATATATGACTGAAAAGTTAAAAGCACTTCATAAGAATGGTGAAGGATCCAAGTTCCTTTTCTATTCATTCTTCTTAGAAGTTGAATTTGATCATACGAAAAGGGGAAAACAGAATTTTTTTTCACAAACCACACAAAGAGAAGAAGATGTCAATATTGGAAACTAAGTTGTTTATGTGAATGAAATAATTACAATTACAATTTTTTCATCTCTTAGGCATGATTGCAGTATGGTAATAGATATTAAAAAATTCATCCAGATTGTAGAAGACATATCATTGTAGTAATTTTTTCAATTCGACCCAACATTCATTCGTGTAGAGCGCATACAATGCTTCCGGAAAGTGATTATGACCATCTTTCGCAGGTGGAGGCGTCGTCGAAGAAGAAGAGTGCCAAGGCGACGTCGGTGCCGTCGCCGGGGTCGTCGAACTCGCAGGACTCGTTCCCTGCGGGAGCGGCTGGCGGGGCGGGCTCGATGGACGGGTACGGCGGGTACGCGGGCTACGCGCCGCCCGCCGGCAGTCAGGAGTACCAGGGGCAGCAGCAGCAGCGGTCGGGCGGGCAGGCGGGTGCCTCGCCGCACGGGGGTGAGTGCAAGGGGGGGGGGATGAATGGGTTGGAGGGGAACGGGGTGTCGAACGGAAAATACGGATGTTCCTAGAATCAGAGTGAATATATAGGGTGTTTGGTTCATCGACGTATATCTATCTGAAAGGGGGTGATAGTTGAGAACATTTTGAACATATTATACCATATATATACTATTATACAAAGTGTTTCAAATTTCGAGGTAACATCGTTCTTTCAAACATTTTATCTGATAAAATCTCTTTTTTCTTAGAAAGTTGAATACGCATTTCATCGATATTGAACACGAAATGGGACCTAATGTGATAAAAACATCCAATTTTGAATTTATATGCTGCGATTTCTCAAAAAGTGTAAAACTTTGTATAATAGTATATATGGTCCAATTTGTTCACATAACCTACCACCTCCTTCCGTATATACGTCTGTGAACCAAACACCCTGTATAAATGGAGTGACGACAATAGTAGTACTCTTTTTGATTGGTCAAACCATCAAAATAGAGGTGCATCCACCTGTCTTGTTTTCTCCATTCAGTTATACTCTTTCTAATTCACTTTGTCAATGCTTTGTCTCTGTTTTTTGCTCTTTGGACACAGAACATTCAACAATCTGACATGAAACTCTATATGTCAGTACCTTGGATAGTAACTATTAGAATCCGTCTTGTGGGACTCGCAAGTCTCAGATTGTTTAGATGACGAAAATATCAAATATCTAAACTTGACACCAGGTGGGCACTTCGAAGGCGCAAATTCATTAATGCATGTGAGATACCCTTCAGATTTTTAGCTATTCAGTGACTTGACGAGGAATATCATCATTCCGGAAACGGCAGCCATTTGGAGGTCACTCTCAATCAATCTACTCATTCTACCTAGAATATTCTCTGAATATGCTAGAAAAGAGGAATACAGCGTATCTCATTTCATACGCCCCTCGCCTCTATGTACAGTGTCATTCATGAAGTTGGCATCATATGGGAAAAACTTTCAATGATAATTTATTTCAAAATTCGACTGGCGTTGAGTTTAGTTTCGAAAATGATGAAAAATGGCCTACTCGGTCGGAGTCACGTGACTGCCGCTACATATCAGATGTCAAAATTTCTTTCTTTCAATAAATTGCTGGAAATAGGCATATTTGATTGAAATTCAGAAAAGTTTACAAAGAAGAGTTGTTTCTATTCCAATTTTATCCATGTTGCTCGAATTTGAACGTTCTATTAAATCTTTTAGCTTCTGATATTTTTTGACTTCTTCTAATTGTAACTTCGACAAACCTGTCCTTAACATTGGTTGGACAGTAAAGTAGTTTGATAATAATTTGATAGATGACTTTGGCATCATTTTAGTACTGAAAAAATCAATTTAAATGAATTTTGCTCCTGAATGTTAGACGATGCATTAACTTTGCATCAAACCACATAAATGATAACTACTGATTGAAAGTTAGTATAGTAGAACGTTCAAATTCGAGACACATATGTAAAATCTTGATAGAAACGACTTTTCTTCACAAACTTTTTTGAAATTCAAACAAATGAGCCTATTGTCAGCGATTAATTTTTTTTTTTGAATGGTACTTACTCTACTTGCATTGGATTCTGAAAAAAGCTTATTCAAGAAATTGTTATGTACAAATATTATTCAATATATGTTGGGCCATCTTTTTTTATTTCAGAATATGTTTATTGAAATATTCTATACGCCCTGTAGATTGTTTCATCAGTAATGATTCTGTTGTGATAGGAATTTTTATCATGATTCAAATTGCGGCATATACCAAGCATGATGATAGACCCTGTAGAGGGTAATCTAGTACACCTATTTTGATTCATAGTCTGCCTTATTAATTGAAGAAAATAATAATGTACTGGTTTTCCGTTCGACATTTCGTTACCGAAATTTCGTTTTGGACATTATGTTTTTCGATATTTTCTCGATATTTTTTCACTGACCGAACTATAGGCTTCTACACAATGCAAAAACGCAAGACATAAGATGTAAGCCTTTTCGGTGTATTGAAAGTTTTTGGGGCAGAATACAATGCTTATGCAATATCCTGAGATTCGGCAGTGTGACATACAGGGTGTCCCCAAAACCCAACGTCTACCTTTGGAGGGCTGATAGTACAGCTCATGACTGACTAGAATATCTCAATATGACCTTGGTAAATACTCCAAAACTATCAATATTTTACAGGGGCCATATTGTGATATTCTGGTAAGTCATTGAGCTGGACTATCAGCCCTCCAAATAATGACGTTGAGTTTTGGGACACCCTGTATATTGGCGTAGGGAAATTTACCTAAGGATAAAATTATCCACCAGAAACATGACATGAGCAAAATCCCTATAATTGAATTAACCAATTTTTTCTGAAGTTCAACTGAAGATGTACATACTTAAGCCTATTTAATTGTTATCAGAATGTCAGCAATCTGTTCGTATTGTTTTCTGCTTCTGTTTTTATGGTTGAAAAGGAAGAACATCTTACAAAATCATGCAATAAATCCGAATGAATCTCGTGTTTCCATATTTTAGGTTAGTTTCTTATGAAATCTGAGTTCATTGAATTTTTGGTGGAGTCGAAAAACCATCACCATCATCTTATGCCTCACGTTTTTGTATTGTATTGTACTGGAAGTCCTATCACCATAAAATAAAAAAATAGTGCTGGGAAATTATGAGACGCGAGTTAAAGTCTCGCAGGTGCTCTGCTGAGTTTGCTCAGTAATCATGATAAAAAGAAGTATATTCACCATTATACGGAAAAAAGTATTGAATTCATATGGCTACATACTATTCATCCATCTACATGTTTCAATTTGATTTAAATGAAAGATTATCCCGTTGATAACATTCACAAACTACCGATTATAAACAACTTTGAACAAATTTCACATCAATTTATCTGCACTTCTTATTAGGGAATGTAAGATGATAAAATCACCCTAAATGTTCAAATACATTATGAAATCACTTTTTGAAAATACCAAATTATTCATTCACCTATGAGTCAAGCCATGGGTTTTTGCAGATACCACGTGTACTGAGATAGGTAAATTGTCCTTCCTTTCGTCTATTTATTCATTGGTAGGAATGTATTCGCCGGCAGTTAATTGGAAAAATATATTCAGTGACATTAAGTAATGCACAAGGAAAATACAATTTCTTATGAAGATTTGGAGAGAAATACAAAAATATACCCAAAATAAAATTCAGAAAAACATCAATCCATATTTAGGCAACTAAAGGTATGTTCATGCTTGTACGAATTCCGGAAAATTTATGCGAATAAAATGGCGACTGCGAATATCGCAATGAAGTTGAAATATTTTAACTTTTTTGCGAATTCGGATGGAACCATAACCACATAAAATGTATTGTTATTTCGATAACATCAAAATTGGGGAATTAGAGAGCGGACTGCAGAGGTCGAAAAAAGACGAGACTATAGACACTAGACTACAGGTAAGTACAGAATTATAATTAAAAATTTCATCATTCCTTCATTTGATTGAATTTTCTTCGCAGGATGGATTCTCTGGACGAATTAATTTTAAAGTATCATCTGTATGGTCTCTAATATAGAACTAATGATGTATCCAGAAGCATAAAAAGGAGCTGTACTGTTCGAAGCATTTTTAAATGGCGAAAAATGAATGGAGATTGGTACAGACTCGTTCGATAAATGCGACTGAATGACCCTAATAAATATTTTTACTTTCGTGTAACGTGCCTTCAATTTGATGAACTTCTATCAATGGTGGGACCAGAAATAAAGAAATTAATATCCCTTATCTCCTGCATATTTTGTCGCATGAGTATGAACGTCAAATTCTGTCGGAAATTTCATATTTTGCGATTCGCATAAATTTTGCGGAATTCGTACAAGCATGAACATACCTTAAGTGGCCATCCTCAGTAATTCAATATTTCAAACTCATGAAATTATAGTCAATGGTCATTAGAACCTATATTTTTCCATATGCTGCATACTTTGATGCTCACTGTATATTTTTCAATTCTTCAACAAATTCTCATCAATTCAAGTAAGTACGTTATTACAGCAATAGAATAATTTCCTCAAGGTCACATTTCGTTCAAAAGAAAGTAAAATTTTCTTTTGGTCATTCAATCATTAAGGCTGAGCTCCGTTCTATTCTACGACACTGGTTTTCGTTTTCCACCTATAGTCGTGTGTCTCGATCAAGGTGGGCTCAAACCCAATAAAAACACCTAGGAGTTTTTTTGCGCACCTCAGCACTTACTCGTCACTGCTTTCGGTATGCAAGTTTCTTCAACAACTAGTTGATGACCAGCTGTCAAAGCGAGTGTTTAGTGTGCCTACATTACAGAAATGTATCAAAATTATAATGACGATCTCAACAATTGTGATGTATATTACGATTACAACTACAATACTTATCCGAATGTTTATTTTGGATACGACTATTGCGGATACGGAGGTAACATTTTATTAGTGATTTGTTTATTGTTTCTTCGCTGCTTAACCAAAACAAACAGTCACAGATATTCAGGTGTTCAGCATGAGGGCATAATATTTCTTGATGTATTAGTCCATGAATGAGGTGAACATGACTAACTTCAGTTTTTGGCTCTAGTATGTAATTTTTCAATCTACATGGGTATTTTGAAAAATGATCACTCGCACATGATAATATCAATTCTTACTGTTTGTTTTCGACCGTGTTTGAAAATGGATCTGAACATTTTCAACATTTGATTTGATTCTTGATTTATTGTTCCGAACACTTTATAGTATGGGTATGTTTGGACCAAGATGCATTGAAACCCCATGGGCATACAATATTGTTTTAGCCAAGCCAACAAGAATTAGCAGTCAATCAGTTACCGAAGTCTAATAAAGTTCGATTCGAAACAAAATATCATGTTGAAGACTTCAACCACTGATCAAGATCTATGATTAAAAAATGTGACCCAAACGTTTGTGTTTATTTTGATATTTGTTGCAATTTCAACGATAAGGAGATGATATATCAGAATTTATGTACTCTCAACAATATAAACATATCTAATCAAACACCTGACTCCAAGACTATGGACGAACTAGAAGTAATTTCTCCTTAAGAATATGAACAAATACTTTAGCACTAGAAGACATGAGCGAATTGAAGCAAACTATCAATAGATTTTGAAAAAATCGGGGTTTATAGTAATTATACAGGGCGAATAAAAGTGTGGGATGAATTTCATAAAACCATTAACCCTAAATGTTTATGCAACACCAAGATAGAACTATATATCTGGAGAAGCATGTGCTAATCAGAAAATTAATGAAATAGCTGATCAAAAACTTATGCTGTATTTCATACATCACATTTTGTTATCGCTTGGAGCGCACGAAAGGGATTCTTTATAATGTTCGGCAGATTCTTGGACACAAATAGAAAATCTCGGAACATGGTGTTCTTCATGATAGTATCTACATATCTCAAAAACTCAAAATTAACTATTTTGAACAGTTTTTGTCCTCATATATCATTGACGACTGTAAAAAAATATGAAAAGTGAGAGAATGGAGTACCTACCAGTTTCTTGAATAGTATTTTCAGTACAGTACAGACAAAAGTTGAGTTCCTCCAAAGAAACACCTCAAATATACTTTCATAATACAGATAATGCTCAAAACTCAGAAACCTCATGGTCTTGTATCCATCGTGAAAAAGCAGACAATTTTCATAATCTCTGACAATAAGTGTACTCTTGAGCTATTATGTTCCCTGCCTTCTCTGTTCATCGTTTACTCAAAAAGATAATGAACGTTGGTATGATGCAGTTTGGGTTTGGATATTCTAACGGTTAACAATTCAACTGCTCACCCTATCTACCAAATTTTGAAAATCGCTCGATAAAATTTGATGAGGATTCCGAATCCTTACACATTGTCTCGGATCCAAAGGATTTCTAAGCTGCTGCTTTTCCCGACAAACATCGAAAGTCGTTGCAATTTCTCACAATAATCTTACGACGTGCCATGAAAATTCCGAATCTACAAATGTTTGTCATATATCTAACACATAACCGAATCATAAACCGCTCCTCCCGATGAGTGATCAAAAACGAAATAGTCGCCCCCTAGTGTCGAGCAATGCATCTTGGTCGGAACACCCGAAGAATGTTGTGTGTCGTTCGTTTTCAGGTTCCGGCACGAACCACCTGAACAGCTCGGCGCCAGGGGGCCCCAGCCCCGCTGGCGGGGCTGGCGATAACGTGAGCGTCTCGAACCCGTTCGACGACGTGTCGCCGAGCCCGCCCGCCCCCAGGGGGGGACCCTATCCGGGCGGGCCGCACGCTCCCTATCCGGCCGCAGGCGGGCCGCCCAGGCCGCCGGGACAGAGTTACGCGGGCCAGCCCGGGTACCAGTACCCGGGTCCGGGACCCGGTTCGGCCGCGCCGCCCGATCAGTATTCGCCATACCCGAGCAGTTCAGGTAAGAACCCACAGAACTCACCCCTCGGGTCTATTGCTCGAAACTGGCGACTCGAGACTTTGAATTTTGATATTGGCCACTATAAACTCGTCATATGGAAGTTGCGACCTATAAACTTGTGACAATATTTCTTAGTTCAATATTGGCAACTTTAAACTAAATAAATGTTTCGACCTCTAACACCGGGAAACCTTGTAACTTGTCCCTTGGGCCCAATGGTACGGGTTGCAATAATACGACGGTTATTGACTCGAAATTGGCGACTCGAGATTTTATATTTCAATTTTGGCAAATATAAACTTGTCATATGAAAGATGCGACCTTTCCCACCGTTACGTTTTGAGTAGAAACTTGTGACTTCTCCCTTGGTTCCAACGGTACGGGTCGCAATAATACTATGGTTATTGACTCGGAACTGACGACTCAAAGGTTCTTATTTCGAAATTGGCAACTTTGAACTTGTCGAATTAAAGTTGCGACTTCTAACACCGCGGAAACTTGTGACTTGCCCCTGGGTCCCAACTGTACGGGTCGCAATAATACTACGGTTATTAACTCGGAACTGATGACTCAGTTTCTTATTTCGATATTAGCATCTATAAATTTGTCATATGAAAGATGCGACCTCTACCACCGTTATGTTTCGAGTTGAAATGTGTGGAAAAGCTGTAAAAAAGGTCACAGACGATAGACGAGTGTTATTCTGATACAGCTTGTGAAATAAAACGGGGTCAACTTGTACCATAAAACATGTGACACAGTAAATACCACTCACTAGGTCTTGAATCGAAATTCTTGAAATTGACTACTGGCTACTAATATCCTGAGAGTTATTCAATACTTGAGACTTATGATTAGATATTGGTGATTTGCCTATTTATTTTGCAATTTTTCATCAATCGTCGGAACTAATGAATTCTCATTTATCCGATGGATGATTGCGAGAGAGATGTTGTATGAAATTGATTCTAATAGGACATCACAAGAGGTCCAATTGAATAAGGTTTCCTCATCTTGATCTCTGAATTTTCTCATAAAAAAGCTGTTGAAAATAGAGTGGAGCTCAGTGTTATTTTTATTCACATAATTTATGACCGAAAAAGTATTCACAGGAATTTATTCACTATACGTTATGTTATCAATTCAACAATAGATACTTATTGTCCATTATCAGTGATTCCAAACAATTATTTATCCATAATAGTTTGATTTCACAGAATATAAACATTGGACGTTATCAACTTGTTGATGATCTGCTTGAATGTTATGCAAATACCAACTCATTACAGGTGCATTCCTTGGAAATCTAAGGAATATCCCTCGCAAACGGACCCATCCTCAATGGAATTCAACATTATGGAATCATATTTACAGGTTATCCTCCAGCCGTCAGACCAGTGTACCCTCCATACTCGGGCGACTCCTCTGCCCCGCCGGCGAGTCCCAACAACTCGCAGGGGCCCCCGGCGGCCGGGGCGCAGGACCCCTACAGATACAACGCCAATCCGGGCTCCAGCTACAGCCCCAGGCCCGCGTACGGGCAAGCCCCGAGCAACAGCGGGCCGCCAGCGTCTCAGCCGGCCGGTCCTGGGAATTATCCTCCGCATCCCGATTACTATCGTCCAGATCAGGGGCAGGTGAGTGGATTCGAGTGGATGATAGGACGTTTTCGTCTTGTTCTTTCCTTTCCTCCCTTGTTTTACTGACTTTTCCTGAACACGGCTGCAAAAAGCATTTGACATACGATCAAATATTTAGTTCGTTTATATCCATGGCAACGTATGTCTTAGCTGATAAGTTAGGGGAGTTGATTCTTTGTTAACTCAACAGAGACTTGCAATCGGGTTTAAGACGTAACTGAGTGACATTCAGAGCAATCGGGATTGGAATACAAGAAACTCCTGAAATCATTTAATCCTGTTATCCTGGTGTGTAGGCATGCATACTGTTTTTTCATCAATTTGCTGCTTTCATGAACTGGGTGATGCCTCACTCACTAACTCTTTGACCCCATTACAACACCGTAAAAAAGTTTGGCGACCTTTCACTTGGGTAACTACCAAAACTCGTTCGTCTATGGAACGGCAAAGCTTTCGAATTGGAATATTCACAAGCTTTTTCCAGGCATTCTATTGCCTCCTCATACAATATTGAAAAACTTTTCTAAATCAGTACTATCATTGGAGGTATTTTCAGCCAAATATAGTTCTGTTTTTCTCTAAGTCAATTTCATTAACTCAAGTTTACTGTGTTCAAACGTTTCCAAATTTTCGCTAGTAGTTCCTGAGTATTCCCAGATCCTACCCTGTCCTGATGAAATCAACAAAATACCCTGTTTCCCACGGTAAGCCTCCTGTATTCTCACATTTCCTCAAGAACAAATACAATATTTCAGTAGTTGAGTTGTTATCAAGTAAAACCATGGTTGAAATATATATTTTCTGTAGCAGGGCACAGGTAGTGGAACAGGCTATCAGGGAGGACCCAACGCAAACAAGAACATGCCTCCCCCAGGTCCGCAACCACCTAGGAGGCATCCAGACTTTGCCAAAGACCAGCAATACCCGTACAACCAACCACGTGCACCCATGTACGGTAAGTAGACCCTACGCAAACCCCTTATTTCTTCTGGAACTAAAAAGGTATCCGTTATTCCGTAGGTGGTTGGCCAAACAACAACCAGTACCGACCCCCTCAGTACGGAGGCACGCCCGGAGCTCCTCAGGTCACGCCCCAGCAGTGGAATCAGAGCGGAAGGCCCGCCGGCCCTTGGCCTGCTAATCAAGGCTATCAGCAACCACCGGCAGGGCAACCGCCTTGGCCGGGAATCGCCCAACCGGCTGCCCAGAACGCGAACATGAGACCGGTGCACAGACCGGGCAAACCGTTCCCCAACATGATGCCTCCGGGCGGGGCTAAAGGCAACCAGGCGCAGCCTACCTCGGGCAGCTCGTACAGCCACAGCCAGATGACCAAGAGAGAGATCACGTTCCCTCCCGATAGCGTGGAGGCGACAGTGCCTGTGCTGTATCGGAGGAAGAGGCTGTGCAAGGCCGATGTGGGGCAGGTGGATGCTTGGCGTATCATCATGTGTTTGCGCTCGGGGCTGTTGTCCGAGAGCACTTACGCCCTCGACATGCTCAACGTGCTGCTTTTCGACGATTCGTCGGTCGGATATTTCGGGTTGAGCCAGTGGCCGGGTCTCATGGACCTGCTGATCGAGCATTTCAAGCGCAGCCTTTCGGATATGTTCGACGGGCCGTACCCGCGAGAAGAACCGACGGATGGTCACGAAATCGATCTGGGTGGGGTGGTGACGCCAGTCGATCCCGATCTGAAAACGGTCGTGCTCAACAACACTCCCAACTACTCGATGGTATCCAGGAAGGGGCACCCGGTGAAGCTTATAGACAAACCGGAGGACATTTTCATACAAGACAACGTGAAGGCTTGGGACACGAAAGGCGATCCTAATATCAGGAACACGCTGGCGGAGATAGCTACAGATCCGTGGCACACGAACGCCGAATATATCCTACCCTCTTTCCAAGCCGAGTTCCAGAGTATACCCTTCCACATGCGATTGAAGGAGGAGATCAAAAGCGAGGTGAAGGAGGAGGCGATAGAGAAGAAGGAGGAGGCAGCAGCGAATGAAAAAGAGGAAGAAGAGATGGAGGTGGAGCCTAAAGTCAAGTCTCCTCCCCCGGACGAGGGACCACCTGCTAAGCCGTGTGACAAAAGACGTAGGTCCAAGACATTAAGTGATGTGATATCTCGAATTAAGAAGGATTCAGAGGCGAACGAGCTCACCGCGGCCGCGACGGAAGACGACGTAAAGACTGAGGTAGTGAGTGAGAAAGCGGACTTTGAGGAGGCGAGTTTAGATCTGAAAATTAGTGTGAACGGCGAGTGCGCCGACAGAACGGAGACTGTAAAGGATCCCTCGGGGTCCTTGAAGAGACGGAGGATCTCCGATTACGAGGACGAGGCTTATACTAGAGACGAGGCCAGCTTGGTGCTGCTCACTGAGAGCCAGGATAACATCGGCAAACGGTGCGTGTGCTTGTCGAACATTCTTAGAAGCCTTACGTTCATTCCTGGGAATGAGATCGAGTTTTCTAGAAGCGCCACATTCTTGGCGCTGATCGGGAAGCTGTTGCTGCTCCATCACGAACATCCGCCTCGTACACAGAAGACGAGGAATTACGACCGGGAGGTGAGGAATTTTTCAGTCAACACCATAATGCACTCACCGGCCAGCTAAAAATTCGGCACGATTGATCGCCCTGTAACTTTCTAAATTCTTGTCCAATTGATATCCCTTAATTCCACCCCATTTTTTCAGCACTCACCAGTAAAGAGAAACCTCAACTACTGAATACAAACAAAAATCAGACCTCATAGATGTAGTAAATAAGGAGTACGCCCTAGTCGATCTTGAATTACAGCATTCAACCAATTTGATCAAATTGTATAAGATGTCTTGAGAATTGGCCTTAAATTCTCCCTTAAGGGCGAATCATATAGCTCTTGAAGGCTGAAAAAAGGCGGACGAGCGTCTCAAATTGAAAATTCAAGATGGCGGACGTGTTTTGTAATCCGATTTTATTCAAAATTTGGTATCTAGGGGTTTTTGGGGTCGGTTACTATGATTCATTCGTCAAAATTTGGAAAGTCAAGATGACGGATCCAATATGGCGGACGAATTTTGTGATTATGGTCCGATTTGGTCGAAATTTCATCAGAATGGGATAAGAATTGAAAAAATTAGACGGCGATCGATTCGGCAAAATTTGTTGCTGACCAGTTTCTTTTGCTGGTCATTGTATTGTACTTATCCCCATGACAGGAAATAATTATTCAATATGGAAATGTATTTGAACAAGAAGTACATGGTTAGCAGAACTAGATGGTTCAGCTCTATTAATAGAAAAGGAATATCATGATCTCAGAGGATATTATCGGAAACGAAACTACTTACCTGTAAAACTTTGTAGCTACCTACTGATTATATTCAAGTTTTTATAACCTGTTTCCACTTCTTATGATAGAGCCGAGACATCGAGTTGCGCTCACCCTATACCTTGACGTTATTTCCAGGAGGACGCGGACTTTGCGGACTCGTGCAGCAGCCTGCAAGGGGAGAGCGAATGGTGGTGGGAGTTCCTCGTCCAGATACGCGAGAACATCCTCGTCTCGCTGTCGAACATAGCCGGGCAAGTGGACGTGTCGCTATTCGGCGAAGAGGTGGCCAGGCCGATGCTGGACGGGCTTCTCCACTGGGCCATCTGCCCGTCGGCTGCCGGTCAGGACCCCTTCGCCTCGGTGGGCCCCACGTCGTTGCTCTCGCCCCAAAGGCTGGCCCTCGAGGCGCTGTGCAAGTTGTGCGTGACCAACAGCAACGTCGACCTGGTGATAGCCACGCCGCCGTTCTCCCGACTGGAGAGGCTTTGCGCGGTGCTCACCAAGCACCTATGTCGGTCCGAGGACCAGGTGCTCAGAGAGTTCTCGATCAACCTCCTACACTACCTGGCGGCGGCAGACAGCAGCATGGCGCGCGTGGTGGCCGCGCAGACGCCGTGCGTGTCGCTACTGGTCGCCTTCATCGAGCAAGCGGAACAAAGTGCGATGGGCGTGGCCAACCAGCACGGCATCGGTGCGCTGCGGGAGAACCCCGACTCGATGGGGACCAGCTTGGACATGCTGAGGAGGGCCGCCGCGACTCTGGTGTTTCTGGCCCGGCATCCGGAGAACAGGGCTCTGTTGGTGCAGCAGGAGGCCAGGTTGCTGGCGCTGGTGATGAGCCAGATTCTGGATCAGCAGGTGGCGCTGCTGCTGTCGAAAGTGTTGTTCCAGATATCGCGCAGCTAATCCGCAGTGGTCAGGTTGAAACGATGCGGCCTTGCTGGTGTATAGATAGACAGACCTGAACCGTGTGTAGCGCGATTCCCCCTGACTTTTACCACAATGACAGTGTATGTGTGTGTGCGCGTGCTTGTGTGGATGAGAGTGATGTGATGAGATTCAATATCGAGACTAGGTGAGGAGGAGAGATAGAGAGAGAGAGATATCCGGATCTCTGCTAGCTAAACAATTCACATAGTGTAATCCATACATAATTGTACCATTTTGTAAATTAAGCGACATACGTCTTTCTGGAAAATGTTAAACATACATCCATGTTACTTATGTTATTTATTATTTGATATACATACAAGTATAAACGTAGATTCCAACTACTCTGGAATAGCCTGATTGGTGCAAAAAATGCGGGTGCAGGTGGTGTCATCTCCCTTTTAGTTTCCTGCACACTCACTTTTCTTATTTCATGTTTGGTATTACTGTGCGAATGCTTTATACATGTCTGATAATGAATTTAATTAAATAAATGTACAAAGGAAGTACCGAAAAATGGTGTTTTTATACAAGTTTTAATTTTCTATGTATATTTAGAAATGTTTTATACATCCCATTTTAGCTGTTACATTGAACTCTGTTAAAGAACAAGTATGGACTGTAAACATTAGAAGAGGCAGTCTTGATCTAGAACTCAAATGTAGTTTAAAATATGTGGTGATATTTTTCTGGCTGTAGGTATAATTCATCTTATGTATGATTGCATATTGTAAAATAAGTAAATGCTAAATACATTAAAACCTATTTTTTAATTCATGACAAGAAACCCTAAATGCAATCACTACTTCTTCATTCCTATTTTACTTTCACTTGAGAGGTAACATCAGTGGGTGATTTTGAAGTACTTGGACTTGCAAATGTAAATTTCCAAACTGAATAACTTTGCTTGCCATTTGTATGTTCCAGTTTCTATTGTGATTCAAAAACCTGATGAATATTTTACCTTTTGTAGAACAAATTATTTTATATAATAAAGCGTTGAATAATCAATACAGTATTCACCAGATGATTATGATATTGCTGTAAGTAGTAGGGATTATGGGAATGAGAATCTTGAAGAGCCTGAGAGAAATAGACATCCATAACAGAAGGCTAGCACTTCAAAATATAATCTCCATTAGTTGCCCCAGTAGGATTCCCGTCACAGGATGTTCTCTACCAGTGGATGTTGGGGAAAATGTGATGTCACTGATGGCAGAAGGTGACACAATACAGGTAAACTGATTTGGACCAAAAAACACAACAGCAAAACTTATTGTGGGTCCCCAGGAGACAATTTCTATGTATACAGGACCTATATGTTTCAGTTAGGAACTCACTGCATTACAAGGTCTATTTATTTGTCAAAAAATTTTACACAGTCCCTTGAGAATGAATCAAAAAAGTCACCTACATTAATACTTATAGGAACAAAAGATAAATTCGTCTTTGTTGTACATACTTGCCTATAATCAAGACCTCTATTTATGATTATCACTCAGAAGAATGGAACATTTTCCTGCATAAATTTGTTTAGGCGTGCATAATATGAAATGACATTCATCGCAGATACTGCCTGGATGGTTTGAATCAATATTCTGTTGAGAAAATAGAAGTTTGTAGTTTAATGGGGGAATATAGGACAGATTAAAAGTGAAACGCTTCTAACAACTGATTATTCTTTCTAGACAACTTCTGCTAATATGCTTGAGTAAAAAAGGAAAATTACGGAAAATGTTAAAAATGGTGAAATCACCCAAAATAATTATTTGCGTTACGCCTATGGCAAAAAAACTCCCTTTTGTCAAAGAATAGTAGGTTACCTCTTTGCTTTTGTGCTCTTTTAATAATATCTGATTTCATTCGCTAGCAACACGATCTTGGTTAGCATGACGTCACTCGCATCTAACCGTTGGGTAACGGTTATTAGGATTCCTCAAACTTTAAAGCATATTACTATGAAAAATCATTCCTATGTGACAATGGGTAAATAACTTTCCTTTAATTTTTCACTACTTTCTGCCATATACCTACTAAATATATACGGATAACATCCTATGTTTCCATGGTCAAAAGTGAAGCCAGTTTTGAGAAACAAATGACAGTCTGCGGGTGCAAGTACCTATTTGCGCATGCGCGAAATTTGTCAAATTCACGAGTCAAAATGGAGGATGAATTTCATCTACATTTTATTTATATATGTTGAAGTTTTTTTCCGATGCCTCTGATAATAATATTCCTCCGCGAAAATGTTTCTGATAGCAGAAAAAGTACATCAAAGCATTGATATTGATGTCAAAGCTGTCAGTGGAATGGGGAAAACAATGAGAGCCACATTCCACATTTGATTCCAATCATTTTTATTTCGAAATTTCAGCGATTTGAGTGCTTTTGGAAATCGGCCGATGGTGGAAGACAAACAGGTATACAAAGCAAGAAATAATGTTGAAGTGAAAAGTATACAGAAACTTGAGATCTTTGAGCTGATTTGAAACTCTTGGTTTGTGGATGCTGAAGCCTTATGAAGTCAATTATGCTTCATTGATCCTTTTGCTTACTGAAATTTCAAATCACATATTTAGGTAGTCATAAAGAACTGCAGAACTGGAAAAATTCAGTTGTGAAGCTCACACCCAAGCAAGTGGTGAAGAAAGTCAGGTATAGATGTGATGTAACTAGCTTTTTTACAATGAAAGGAAGACAAAGATTGAAGAATCTGTTGCATTTCCTACAAAATTAATCATGCTGTTGGTGACAAAGAATAATTCTGAATTCTTGGTAAATTGTAAGTCTTATATATTATCTAACTTCCATAAATAGGTAACTGATATTTGTTTTCCAGATAACAAATCAACTGCCCTACATATATTTCTACAATGAAGCAGGAAGAACAACATTTGCAAAGATTTCATTACTGTCAGAATCACACTTGAGCAAGGTCTTGAGATGGAGAATAATGGAGATATTTCATAATCATTTTATTCTTATTCCTTGTATAGAATTAGAAGCTTTAAATTATTCACAGTGTTAATCATATTCTGGTTCATATGTTGAAATAAAGCAAAATTGAGTAGGTACTCATTGAATTTTTTATTATTACAGAAAAAGTGAAAAAAAAATTCATTAGATGGGGTACTGAAATTGCACTTGTCTTTTCTATGGAAACATCATAGGCACTTTCACAAGATCAGTCCTGGTGGAAGTTGCATTAGATTTGGTTGATTTAGCTGAAGAAGGATTAGAGACATATTCTAGTTTTTGATGGATGTGACCTTCCTCTTTCCCATTCATATCCATTGATCACAGGTTTTACATTTTGATGCATTGTAATTGGTGAATTCTGTGAAGGTATTTAATTTGCATCAGAAAAACTTGAAAGAAAAGCACATTACATAGAACACTGTAAAGATATTTTTCTCAAAATGGAAGAAATTACCTTCCTGATCTGTTTCTGAGAATAAGTATCTGCTACAGAGAGGCACATATATTTGTAAATGGGCTTCCCAATTTTCATAATGTTCTGCCACACTTCGTATAATTTTGCATCTGTTGGGAAGCTGTACATTTGTATTTGTATGTTTATAATGTCTTGCACTTGTTGGCCATTATTGGAAGTATTGGAGACAATCCTGCTTATCTAAGGTATGAAGAAAATATTAATATTTTGAAAATGTACTTATCCTCCATTATTGCTGTGAATTACTAAAATTCAGTCCATTTCCTGCTTTGAAATGAAAATTGAAATTGTCGTGAGATTTTCGATTTCAACTACAAAATAAACATTGAATTTCAGGTTATGTACTAAATTCTGTCGATTATCAATAATGATCATACGTTTACTGAAGAGGGCATCAAATTCGTATAGCAATCGTCAAACTCATGTCGTTTCTAATTTCGAATTGACGCATGCGCATAAGTCCATTAATCCCCGGGGACTATCTTTTGTTTTTATTTCTGGCATCAACTATGAGATCTTGTTATCCATATAGTTATTTATACGTATATGCTTTCTGCTAAAAGTGCTAAAATGGAGTATGTTTTCGATTTGAGATTTTTGTTTGCACAAACACGAAAATAAATAATGTTCCGTGATGGTTCTGTGATGGAGCTGTCAACTGTCAACTTCAAGACCCTCCCACTACTGCATGGTGGTTATAACATGGCCGCCGTTTTGTTGTAAACATAAGTTCTGATTTCGGCAAATACAGATAAATAAGTGAATAAATTTGAGTTCTAGTCGTGTAAATAAGTTTTGTTATGTGGTTGAAATATAGACATTAGTACAAATCGCATGGTTTACCATACAGATGTCAGCTGTTACACATTCTGTGCCAGGTTAGTGCCACTATTCTGGGTAGTTTTTTGAAGAGGTTTGTGTTTTTGTTCATTTCTCTTCATAATGTACATATTCTATTCGCACAGGGTAATGGGATAATAATACCAAAACCAGATTGTATACTTTATTTGGTAGTACATTTGAAAAATAGATATATTTTTGTTGAAGAAATCCTACAAGGATTATATTCTGGAATGAGACTGATTTTCAATTAGTAGTATTATTGTGCTAGGTAGGTAGAGTCACAGATTAACAAGTAGAGTCATGTATCATGAGATCAGAGGTATTTATTGAGATATACTTCCATTCATTCTCAAGATTTTAATAATTTGAATTGCTTGTACTTCTGGTTTTTTTTCTTCTAGGTGCAGATCCCACTAAGGGCATCCAGAAGCGTAGAGCAGTTAATATAGGGTGAGTTTATTATTCTTCTTCCCAAGTTTTCCCATTCATTATGTTGAAATTAATTATATCCTGTTTCATAGATGTTGGCAACCAATAAATCACTGAGTGACTTTATGTCCCATAGGCTGTAGTTTCCAAGTTATCTTACAGGTGTCGCCACAAGTATAGGATGTTCACTGAAAAATGAATTTGATTAAAATGTGTTTTTGCCTCATTCCTGTTCATGGAAATGGGAGACAGTTTGGCGCGTTTTTAGATTCAATTATGATAAGAACATTATTTTCGCTTATCAGACCATAAATAAGAGGTAATGGACACTTTCTATATTAAAATTGCTAATATGCCCTAAATATGGGTATTCCAACCAAACACTGATGTTTACTGAATGGTTATTATTAAAAATCAATA